TAATATCTAACACATGCACTATTATGTAAGTTGCTTAATATCCTGGTAACTTCTTCGAGTGACATGGAAGAGAGAATGTTAATAGAGGTGCTATTTCTTTGAGATGTCCACAGAAACACTGCACTTGGGTTGGGGAAATAGCTTCATGGTCTTAAGTGCCTGCCTGACAAGCTCAAGGACCTGGATTCAATCCCTAGCACACATGCCATGCTAACCCCAGAACCACGCACACCAAGCCAGCTACCAAAACTAGGTGTGATGGCACATGCGTGTAATCCCAGGGATGGGAAGGCTGAGACAAGAGGATCAGTATGAGGCTGAGCCGTGTAGTGAGAACCCTGTACGAAGTCAATCAATAAATAAAAAGATCTTTTAAAAAAAGAAATGTCAATCTTACTGAAAATTCTAAACTCCTGAATTTATAAGCAGGAAGATAAATTCTTCTTGAGAAAGTTCTTATCTCCATTTTTAGAAGACTGTACCTGCTTTGTCTAGATACAAACTGTCAAATGTACAAGCAGTAAACACAGGTGGCTCTTCAAATTTAAATTTTAATTAAATGTAAATTTAAAATCCAGTTTATCAGTTACATTAGCCACATTCCAAGTGTTCCATAGCCACATGTGGCTACTACTATTGTGTTGGACATCAGAAATATAGAACTTGTCTATCTTCTTAGAAAGTTCTATGCGACAGAGCTCATAAAATCAAACTGGAATTTTTAACTTCATCTAGCTGAGGAATGAATATAAGTTACATAAGCCAATAAAGAAGAAAATGAAATACTCCTTCTGAAACGACATGGACCACATATAGTTGGCACTTTCACTCTAAACGTAGAAAAAAAAGAAATACCAGAGGACAGATGGACTTAGCCTTCCAGAGCCTCTATGTCATAGCTATTTCTTGCTCTTAATTAATTTATCATTAGTGAAGTTTTATGTATTTTTGTAATATAGGTAACAAACCATAGTGTTGTACTAGATGTGAGGTTAAGATCTATAATTCTGGGACAGTATTCCATTGATGCAGCCAAACTGTACAAATACACAACTGGAGAGACATTCAGGTTAGTTCTGAGTGTTTTGCTTTCACAAATACCACCGCAGCGAATGCTCGTGTACATAAGTCTTTTGTACATGAAGGCTGCAGTTCTATAGGATAGAATGCTAAAAGAGGTCTTTGCTGAGTCATAAGGCTATGAGCATTTCAACTTTAATGGGTACTGCAAATTACCTTTCTGAAGAGTTACACCAATGTAGTCAGCCTCTAATCACATAGGAAAGGCCCTTGAATCCATGCTCGACCCATCCCTGGCTATTATCTGTCTTATTAATTTTTGCCAATATGATGGTTTTTACTTGCTTTTTCTTCATCATTAGTGAAGCCCTGGATCTATTTACATGTTAATTGGCTATTTGAAGATCCATAAATTGTCTTTTCATGGCTTTTTAATATGCTTTGCTATTTTATTTATTAATATTTATAGGCTAGTTTGCCTTTTGCTGATTGATTGCAGAAAGTACAGATTTACTGGAATTACTTTTCATTTTTACATGCAACAAATTTCGGTCCCCTCGAAACATCCCTCCATCTGCCCTATTTCTTTTATCACCTCTGCTTTTAACTTGATTTAAGATGTCTTTTGTCTCGTCACAGGTTCTTATATAATCAAGCCTGTTGATCTTCTCCTTTAAGACATCTAGGTTTTAGGTCTTTCCTAAGACATTTTTTAAAAACATCTTTGATAATTTCAAACTCTAATGTATATGGAACTTTTTTGTATATGATGAGAGACATATTGCAACTTAACTTTTTACAAATAGAAAACCCATTATTCAGTATCACTGTCTAGAAAAATCTTTTCTAAATGATTTGAAATACCATATTTACCACGTGTTAATAAAAAAGTTTAGTCTATTCTGGACTCTCAATTTGTTACAGCTATTTATCTAAACTCTTGTTTCTAAATTATAAAAACTGCATGGACCTGAGGAAATTCATAGTTCAAATTCTAACAAAATGCTCCTACTTTCATAAGTCAAGGCCAGAGTTACAAAGGGGGCAAACATATATTCAGGACTTACAATGTGTTTTACAATCAGTCTCTGTTACCACCTTTCATATATCACGCTAAGAAGTGGCACTACATTTGCACTTGGCAGGACACTAAATATCAGCTAAGTTTCCTAATACACAATAGTGAGTCTCAAATACTCTGAATATGTAATTTAAAAGTCATAATCTGATAGATGTCAAATTTTACCTCATTAACAATAGATTTTAGGAATGGTAAATGGTAGCTTGTATCACCTAAAGTAACACAACAATGTAACTAAAGCCACTTCCACAGCCTATCTCTAAAAAATAAAGTTCTAGTGCATCTGACAGGCCGCTTGGGGTTCTGGGAATGTCCTTTCAAACTCTTCATGATGGCTGTTAAATACCTTTTGCACTCTCTTCAAATCTCCCACCAAATGAAAACCTTCAGATTTTCCCACCATAGCACCATATAACTTGCCCGCAATGAGAATAAATGCTCCTGGTAAGGACGAACTCTTCCAGTTTACTTGAGAACAATTCTATCATTTTGGGGGGGAAAGGGGTAGCGGGGCTCAAACTCAGGACCTTGGGCTTGCCAGGCAGGCACTTATGCTGATGAGCTAGAACACTTTCATCATCCTTCTTTCCTGTGCCACTCCTGTCTTCAAGATCATTCTCATCAGGTCAAGAAGAGAAAATATCTTCATCTTAAAAGTAAGAAATACAGAAGTTTCTTTCTAGTCCATATTCCTACTCCTCTCCAATTAGCATATTTCCCTTTCCCCTCTAGAGGAAAACTGACAGCCATGGATTTTGCCTCACTACTTTTCAAGGACTGGGTCTACCCTGATGAAGTTTCATTACTCACCACTCCTCTGAGTTTGTTATGACTGAGATTCCCCAAACTTTGATGTTGCCAGAAACAACAGACAGTTCTTAGTCCCCAGCACTGGCCCAGTATTCTACCACAGGTGAGTACTCTGCCCCTGCTGCATCTGGCCACAAGCACAGGCAGTTCTCATGGTGCTTCCGTTCCTCGCTGACTGCTCCTCCTTAGGCCCCCTGGTGAATCCTCTCCATTCTGACTTGGACACTCAGGTGTATGAGAAGTCCACAATCCAGTCTTTAAAACTTGTTCTCTTCTAGCTACACTTAGTCTCTATGTAATCTCATCCAGCTCATGGCTTTCAATATCTCAGAGTCCTAAATTCTTATCTCTACACCCAACCTCAGCCACAAACTCAGAACTCCTAACTATACGATGTCTCACCAGTATATCAACATAGTCTATTCAAAATCCAAACAAAATATAACAACAGCAACAACAAAACATTGTCTTTTTTCATATGTTCCAAAGCATCCATCCCTTTAATTACCAGTCTAGGTAAACATCCATTAGTTCTACTGCCTGAAAAAACCTTCGAGTTAGTCTCTACTTCTATTATGTCACACTTCTTCTTAAATTCTGCTCTCATCAAGTAGTTCACCTGGTCTTTTAAAATTATAAATCCAAAGTTAAAATATGGGGAACTATTTAAATTTCTCTGTACTTTCCTACTTATCTATCTACTCTTCTGCCACTTCATATAAAAGAAATCACCTTTAACTTGTGTGCCGGCTTTACTCACCTCACATCACGTCCTCAAGCTGCGTCCATCCACCTATGAGGGCCTCAAGTCTAATTCTTCCTCAGGGTAGTACTCGGCCATGTAAGAATACAACACTCTCATTCACTATTTATCTGCCTGTAGACATGCATCCTGTTTCTAGCACCTGCCTAGTATAAACTCTGCTACTGCTCTTTCTCTTCATGCTCTTATGCTTGTTTCTTCTCTGAATTTTTCTGTCCATGTCTCCTGCTCTCAATAACTCCTTGAAGGTTACTGAGTATACACTGTTTACCATTGTTACTCCCTTATTATTTCATTATGAATTTTTTCTTGTTAAAAAAAAAGAAGAGATATTATAAAGCAAGGCTGGTTGTATGTAGCTGCTATGTAGCTCAGTAGTAGGATACTTACTTAGCCATGCATGAGATTTTAGATTCAAATCCCAATACTGGAAAAAAATATAGTTGTATATATGACTGTAAAACTCCTCTCAATATTTTCCAGTGGCACCCCACCCACTAGCATAAAAATCTAAAACCTTTCCATGACTCATAAAGTTGCAGAACTCTTTCTGAGTTCTACCTATCTGCTTAGCCTCAACTCTTACCAATACCACATCACTCATTAAGCAAAACAAGCCTTCCTATAAATAAACAAAATGTTGCCTTACTATGCTTCACATACAGACCAAGTAACTCCTACCTCAAGAAGAGAATAATGCACTGTTTTGGGGTCTCTGTTTTTGCTTTTCCCTCTGCCTGATATCTACAGATTACTGCGAAAGCATTATTCTTCTTTCATTTGTCTTTGATCAAATGTCATAATTTTTATCCAGTTTTACTTTTCCTCATACAGTACTATGTTATACGAATTACATTCTATTACAAATTTTTATCAAACATCTTTTCTTAAAATTTATTTTTAATTTTTATTTATTTGGTACAGAGTCTCGCTACACAGCTCAGACTCATAGTGAACCTCCTTCTCAACCTCCCCAGTGCTAGCACTACAGGCGTGCATTAGCACACCCTGTTTCAGTGTCTGGCACGGTGGCGTGGCACAAGGTACTGAGGAAGGAACCCAGGCCCTTGTGCTTGCTAGGCAGGGGCTTACATCGCTGAGCTATCTCCCCAGCCTCAAACATCTTAACTAGAGTGTAAGTTCCATGAGGACATGAATTTTTGTTCAACCTTTATCCTCAGAATCTGTAACAATTCCCAAAATCACAGGTGTTCAATAAACGTTTATAGAAGTGAGTAAACACGTGTCTATGTACAGGTCTATGAATCTGGCTTACCAACCTTAGTACATAACCCAAAAGGGGGAAACTTTGAAAGCATTACTTACTTTTCGTTGTTTTACAGAGTCTAATTTTATGAGCCAGTATGAAGCCACTTTTGTCTTATGATGCTTCCAATTGTCAATGATCTGTTGGGAGGGAGAAACACTAAGAACTTTAACCTAGCATGGTCATCAGAAGTAACAAATAAAAAGGAAATAAATGGCCTTAAAAACATTTTTAGTAATTTATGTGTATTAATAAGTTATTAAGGAGGGCACCATAACAATATTTGTAATAACGTGAACTTTCATATGAAGGGATTTGCAAAGACTTCTAACATGAGACAAATACTATCTCAACGCAAAACTTTTTCTTCTTCATGTACCAGAAACATAATCACTAGTAAATGAACATTAGAAGTCTTTGGCACATACGTTCTGAGAGGATGTGTAAGACCTAGATATTCCTTTTTCTTTCTTTCTTTCTTTCTTTCTTTCTTTCTTTCTTTCTTTCTTCCTTTCTTTCTTTTTCCAGTACCGGGGATTGAACTCAGGACCTTGAGCTTGCCAGGCAAGCACTTATTCTACTGAGCTATATCCCCTAGACATTTCTATCATCATTCCCAAGGCTATATTAACCTTATCAGCCACAGTCATTTAATACTGAATTACACAGGAGGCCTGCCCCTTAGCTCAGTTCTTTAAGTGGCTGCTTCAACAAAGCAGTCAGGCTCAGGTTGCTGTGGTTCGATCCCCACAACTTCAGCCAGCCAGAACTGCCCTGAAGGCATTTAGAGCACAAAAAAAAATTGAATTACACATAAGAAGCAACCTATAGTTAATAAGGATTCAATTATCTTTTGGTATAAATCTACAGAACTTTTGAGTGTACATTGTGTATATGGTAGAAAACATTTACAGTATATAGGGCACATATATAAAATAATCTAATAGCTAATGTTATTAATTTCATTTTATACTTATATAAACTTATGTTGTATTCTTTTTTATATAAAGTTTTTTTGTTTGTTTTTGATAAAGAGTCTCACTATGCGATTCAGACTTGTACTGCGCTTCCTGTCTCAGCCTCTCCCAAGCTGGGATTACAGGTGTGTGTCATCTCGCCTGTTTTCAGGGCCAGCACAGCATGTAGTATTGGGTCCTGGGTCCTTGTGCTTGCTTGGCAGGTGCTTAGATCACTGAATTATCTCCCCATCCCCTGTGTTGTGTTCCTGATAGCCATTCTGACTGGGGTAAGATGGAATACAAGAGTTAAATGAATTGTATTCGCTTAGTGCTAAAGACAGTGAACATTTTCTTTCACGTACATATTGGTCATTTGTGCTTGCTTTGAGACATGTCTATTCCATTGATTTGCCTGTTTTTTATTGAATCATTCATGTTAGGGGAATTGGTTCTTTTGAATTCTGTATATATTCTGGATACCATTCCTCTACTAGAAGAGTAACTGGCAAACTTTTTGTCATTCTCTGGGCCCTCTTTCAGTTCTGTGGATGGTTTTCTTTGCTACATGGATGCTTTTACATTTTATACAGCCCCATTCGCTATGGTGTATGATCTTTTTAATTTAATGGGTTTCTGAATTCTGTTTGCAAGTATCTTTTCTATACCCATGTTCATTACGGATTTTGACCTGCAGTTGTCTGTCTTGGTTGGGTCTGACTGGGGTAAGTATTGGCAGTTTTGGTATTGTGGTACTCCCGGCTCCAGGGAAGGTGTCTGGAACCACTCCTTTGAATTACTTGAAAAAAATGTGACAAACACTGGCATTAGTTTTTTCTAATCATCTTATAAAAATCAGTGGTAAATCCATGAAGTGCTGTGCTTTTCTTTGTTGGCAGAGGTTTCATTACAACACCAGTTTATTCATTACTGTCTACTCTGAATTTTTGTATCTTTTTGGTTCAATTTGCATAATTCATGTGTCTAGGAAATAATTCATTGTGTCTACATTCTGCAATTTATTGGGATATGTTTTCAAAATAGTTTCTAATAATCATCTGGTCTTGTAATTTTGCCTTTTTCATTTCTAATTTTATATTAGAAGAGTAGGACTTATCACTCTGTTGATAAAAGTTTGGCCAAAGGTTTATCAATTTTCATGACCTTTCAAGTAATTAATTTTTGATTCACTGTAATTTTTAGCCTCAATTTCAGAAATTTCTGTTCTGATCACAATCATTTCTATTAGGTTTGTGTTGGTCTTGTCTTTCTAGAACCTTTAAAGGCAGCATTTTTTTAGCATCACTCTATTTTCCCAATGTAAGTACTCAGAACTACTCATTTCTCCCTCAGAACTTCTCTCATCATGTCCCACAGATTCTGGTATATTGGATTTGCACTGTTATTTTACCTAAGAATTCTAAAATTTGTTTCCTGACTGCTTCTGTGAACTCACTGGTCACTTAAGAGTGGCTCCTGTGGGTTTCTTCCACTATTGATTTGTTTCATTCCACTGTAATCTGACAGGATGCATGAGATTATTTTAATTATTTTGTACTTATTGAGATAAGGAGGTATTAAAGTCCTGCACAATGATTTTACTGGTCTCTATCTGTTCTTTTATCTTAAAAAATCATTTTTATTTTATAAAATTAAGCATGCCCAATGAAGATATATTTATAACTGTTATCTCTTATTGATGAATTGTAATTTTGTCTTTTTCATATCCAATATCGTATTAGAAGATTGGGTCTTTACCAAAATGGCAGAGACTCCTTTGTCTCCTCTGACCAAATCTGGTTTGAAGTCAACTTGGTCAGAAATTCCAGGCATCATTCTTGCCTTTGGGTCCCACCCTCTGCGGTGTCATTGCCTGCCCACACCACGCCTGTGTCTCCATGGCGAGGGAGCAGTGGGGAAGAGCCCTGCAGCTGCTACCTAAGCCCCCCTTCACCACCGCTGCCACAGGCTCCAGCCTCTGCGCACTCCTGAATTTCTCACTGGCTCCTCATCCAACAGAGCCTGGTTCCAGTCCTCAGCCAGGGCCATGTCCTTTGCCCTTCTCTGGCCCTGGCATTCCTAGCCCCACCCTGCCATGCTCCTACGCGTGGTCCTCAGCTTACTCTTTATACAGTGCTGTGCTAAGTGAGGGCCTCCTCAGGACTCACTCACTGAGCTCCAGTCCTGGAAGAAGACAGTGAAGCTCAACGGACCCGGCTGGTGGTACCAGCCAGGGTGGGCATCCATGGCACAGCTCTGTACATTTCCTGGCATGTGTACTCCCCAGGCCTGGGCTGGGGCCAGGGCAGGGACCCAGCAGGCAGTCCTGCTTCTTATTCCAACCACCTTGCTCCTGAACCTGTTCTCCTCCTCCTGACATCTGCCTCCCTGCAGCCTGCAGCCTGGCACCTGTGTGCCTGTTACCATGGTGAGGTCCCAAGCGTTTCCTCAGTAGTGCTGTCTGCAGTCCGCAGCGATGGAACCTCCATAAGTGTTCTTATAGATCACAAATAGTATCATAGTTCTATTCTCTGAATCTATAATTTTCTTCTACCTGATTCAAAGTAGCAGAATATAACTTAAAAGCTACAGCAGTAAGTGTCTGGTATAGAGTTATTGCCCTTGCTTAAAAAAGAACTTCATCAAATAAAATACATGCACAATGCAATGCTTTATAAGCCATGATGTTGTTCCTTTTCCTTTGATGGAACAGCCAGCTCACCTTCAAACAAGGCAGCATTTTCAGGTGTGTATGTGTGTGCACAATGCACAACATCTGGGGGACTTCCTTATATGTCATGAATACAAAACATTAATTTTTACTGATTGTTTAAAGCACTGATTTTTTTTTTCCTTGCTTGCACTTGTTTTTCTACACTTGGCTTACCCAGATCTAAAACCAGAAAGTGCACATGTGGTTTTTATCCTATAGTTGACCACTAGATGGTGCCTTCTCTTTTAAAGAAAAAAATACAGGGCACCCAGGGACAACATTCAATTACTGAAGAACTGTCTGAGTATTTGAAAAGGATGTTTGCATGAAAAAATAGGACGTTCAGTAGAGAAATTCTCTTGCAGCAATTTTTTTTAATATCTTTGTACTTCACTATGAATTAGAAGTCAGCACTTGCCATATTAGTGTTCCACTGGGTAGTGTAAATGTGTATGTAAGAAGAAAAACAAATTAGTATCTGCTCCTTTCCACAGACCAGCACAAATGCACAGTACAGTTGTCCAAACAATCCTGTTTGCATGCAAAGGTGGAAAGGGGCAGATAATAATTTGTTTTGTCTTTTTCTAATTGATTGTATTTTTTCTCTTCTTAATTTCTCACAAAATACATTTCTTTCTTTTTCTTTTCTTCTTCCAATCTTACATTCACATATCAGGTAATATGAATGACTGGAAGACAACACTATGTATAACAATAAATACTGTAAAATTCATAGTATTTTGTTAAGTGAAATTTTGTATCCCTTTTAATTTTTTGTTTTAATTCTAATTGGTGCTCTTTAAAAAATAAAAAAAAAATCTTAAAGAAAAAAGAAAAACACAAATCAGCATGTGTCACTCCACAATGATTAGAAATGTGACATTCAAGATGTCACAGTAAAATTTTCTTGACACTGTATGACAGAAACCCATTTTTTTTCATTCCATCTCATTCCATCCTTTTTTTTTTTTGCAATAGAAGCAGTTTTTTTATCTTTATCTTTTCTTTACTATTAAGACCAATATTTAACACTAATTATTTAACGTGATGAATCAGTCTTATCATTAAAATAGCATTTCATTTTTAAAAGTATTCCTCATGATTGAGTTCTTACTGTTCATGAATCACAGTAATTAAAATAAATCCTTGTATTTTATAAAGCTCTTGGTAGTTAAAAAGAATACCTAATAAGAGTGCTATATTATCGAGCTAAGTTCCTCAGGGAACACATTTTAACATTTTAAGAAGAATAAACAAACACTTGTAGGCATTTTATATACATCAAATACTCACGTTCTCTATCAAAAGTTCGGATTCTGCATCTGATTTTCCTGGAAACCGGATCTTCATGTCCTTGAGAACAAATAAGGTCTGACTCGTTAGAGCGTCTTCTTGTTCTTTGGTTTTCGGTTGCCGGAAAGACTCGCTCTTAAATTTGAAAGAATACAGATATTTGGAGGGGGTCTATTTCATTGTGCCAGTATAATCTGAAAGATATTTCTAGGTAAAAATGATGCAGTTTTAATTGAAAAAAATACCAAAAAAGAAAACAATGAGTTTACAATTATGAGTTCTCTCTTAGCACTAAATGGATATAAATCCCATGGGTATTATTCATTTCTTTCTTTCTTTTTTTTCCAAGATAAGGTCTTATGATGTAGTTCAAGGTACCTTGAGCTCACTTTGTAGTCCAGGCTGGTCTTGAACTCACAACAGTCCTCCTGCCTCAGCCTCCCAAGTGCTGGGATTACAGGCATGCACCACCATGCCCAGCTGTTACTCATCTCTAAGTGGTCATATATTATTTTTAAAATAACAAAATAAAACTAGGAATATTTAAAAAATAATTCCTAATCAGTTTTTCTTAATATACACACGTTAGGCAATTGTTCTTGATTTGAAAAACAAAAGCAGTGGTTGCCAAGTGAAATTCATTCACCAGTCTTTCCTGATTCTGTCCTTTGATATTTGGAAATATCAAGATTAAATAAATTAAATAAATCCCAGGTTTGTATGAAGCTACTTGGTTGCAAAACAAAATCACTGGCTTCCTCAATCCTAAATTTATGGAATTCTTGCTAAAGAGAAAATATGTTCATTTAAGGTACAGAAACATTATAAATAGCAGCGTGCTTAAGTTCTCTAAGGATAATTTATCAACTCTAGGGAGCCAGGGATATAGCTCAGTGGCATGAGCACCTGCCTGGAAAGTGCAAGGTCCTGAGTTCGATTTCCGGCACCACAAAAAAAAAAAAAATTCAAACTCTAACCTATTTAACCAATAGTCCCATTAAGTAAAATTTTCCCTATAACAAATTTACAGATAGACTATATAAGATACTCCTAAAACTATACATTTACTCTGATGATTTTGAGACAGTTTTCCTATTACATTAGCAAATAGAAAATAAAGTAATGCTAATCGAGCGCTGTGCACAGAGCTCTGTGACACGGGAAAGTCTGCCCTTTAGGAGCCGCACCAACCCGTAATGTAATATAGGTGAATAATCCAAATTTCGAGAGGCTATGAGCTGAATGATAAAAAAGATCTGAGGTTCACTCTGTTCTCTTAGCTGATCACCTTTGCCGGCAAGATTATGAGTGTAACACTTTCTGAAGTCCTAAGAGAGCAAGCTGGATGACTTACCACCTGTGAGCTGGGAGAGCCCGCATCAGTGCTGTGCAGCGGCTGTTTTGTGTAAGAGGAAGCCCGGTTCAGAGAATGTGACCGAGAGGCTGAAGTTGGCCGTGACGCTGCTATCATCTGCTGAGCAGAAAAGGGCCGAGTGTCCCCTCTGAAAGGTGAATGAGCAGAAATGGACCGCGGGCAGCTGACCGAACGCCTCATGGAATCTATCAACGATGGAGAAGAGGGTAGCAGAGCAGTACTGTTAGAAGTTTCCCCCAGCGTTGGAGCTATAAAAACTAAACATTAAACCAGGTAGTGACGGAGTGGCAAGAAATGTCAAATCACAGTCATCTTCATGAGAAGGTATGTTTAGAGCCAGTGCCTCAATGTAAACAGTGAACCTGCTCAGTCCTGAAGTTGTACAAATAACGGCTACTGTGGGAACAGTAACTATAAACAGCACTCTGAAGTTATATTCTCAAAACATCACACACACACACACACACACACACACACACACACACACACACACAAACCAGAAAGGAAAATGAACATTTGTGGAGCAAGCTCTATAAGTCATGCCATGCACTACACTTCTTTCCTTAGTGCTCACAAAAATGCTCTAAAAGAGAACTTACCATTCCCCAGAATTTGAGAGGAAAACATTTCTCAAGGTCACACAGTGACATGGAGGCCAAGCTTGGGTCTAAATGCTTACCTTTCCATGAGGCCGCCCACCGTCCTGGGTGCACATGGGTCAGGCATTAGGAGCTGGGTTTAAAGTACGGATTGAGTGTTGTACAGACAGGTTTACATAGAGTGCACAAAGGAGGAGGGAGGGTGCCAGGGCAACCAGGCAGGCTACAGGCTATAGGGACCACAGAAAGGAACAAACGGAAGATGAATGGGAGGAAAAATTAAAAAATCATCCTGGGGCTGGAGCAGTAGCTCAGCAGACTAAGCGCCTGCACAGGCAAGATCAGGGACCAGGGTTTGTTCTCTGGCACCACACGCCACACTGGCCCTGCCCCTGGGCATGCTGAGCTGCCCACCACGTCCAGCCGTGGTGGTGCATGCCTATAATCCCAGCACTGCGGAGGCTGAAAACAGGAGGATCACTACAGGTACGATTCAGAGCCGCGCAGTGAGACCCTGTATCAAATACATTAAAAAAAAAAAAAAAAGTCATCCTAATGAAGTCGAAGTCAAAATAAGTAACTGCTTATTATAAGACTAGTTCTAAATATTCTTCTCATTTATGGAAATGAATAGAAAAAAATCCATTTCCAAAAGACAGGCAGATGTGCACGCGTGCACACACACACACACACACACACACACACACACCCTAGATTTCATGCTAATAGTAAAAGATGTTTAAAAAGAAACTATGAATCTATAGGAATGTTATCAGGACAAATATCTAGGGAAAACAAGAGGATACCTTCCCCAAATCATCGCAGGTACATTAAGATAAATAACCAACTGTTTTCAACAAATTGTGAATACAGATAGGGAAAAAGAGATTATCACTCAATACTACCAATTTTTGTTCTTACTGTTCATACGTTCTACATATTCTCAGTTCTATAATCTCTCTGCTTAGGAATATACAAATCTTCATTAGTTAAATAATTTAATGAAACAAAGACTGCATATCCAAATATTTCTCATTAGCTGCTGAAAACATTAAATGTGCATGAAGGTAATGGAAATAAACCACGTATTTAGGAATGAATAGATGGATGACAGCTGTAATACGCCTCATTTTAAGTTCTGGAGAGCACATAAAAGCATATTCATTCAAGTTTCAGAAGATTAAAAGGAGAGTGTCTGTTGCGTACTAGTAACTTCCTTCATAACCTGATAATCACAGCACTTTTTGAAGAGATGGTGCTTGCAGGAAAGGGCTGTGTGAAGACTATGCCATGACAGGCCACCTCTTCGTTTCTGCCAAGGACTGCATGTTTAGGGTGACAAGCAAATGTTTCGGATGACACGCAAGTCAACCCTGTACTCAGCAAATACCTGGCTCATTCGCTACTCAATACGCTGCAGTCACGGCTCCCCCTGAGGGCCTAAGGTGACGGCCGTGATGTACACAACCTGATCAAAGAATGGAAGGAATATATCTTTCTCTTCTATCATCTCAGATTCCCATTTTTTTTCACCTGCATAGATTGAAAATTCAGACAGAATAAAGTAGTTAAACATATCAATAATATTTAGGTTTACTAACAACAATGATTCTAATTTTCAGCCACAAAATAAATGGGAAGCCGGGGAGATAGCTCAGCAGCATAAGCACCTGCCTTGCAAGTGCAAGGTTCTGAGTTCGATCCCCAGTACCACAAAAAACAACACAACAACAACAAAATAAATGCGAAAATAATTCTATATAGGTTTCCATATGAATGTCTAACAGCAAACCAAGTGTGGCTCTTTGAAGTCTGGCTTTCCCATGTTAATCTGCCACAGAAGCACATGCTCTGTATGATCTGGACTTTTGTCCTCGGTCAGCAGGGTGACTTTGGTGATAAAACTCAAGGATGATGTGTAGCTGTAATGTTCCTTAGTGTAAGATTAAGGAAAGAATGCAGAACAAGGTGAAACCCTGATTACAATTCCTAACGAGTGCAAAAGAGGATACCAGGAATAAGGAAATGATGTAACTGAATTAGACTAGCTTTAAAATGAAAATTTATACTTAATACTCATTAATATATTTTAATGCATTATTGTCTGATCTCAATTTATTAACCATACTGATCAGAAAACAAAAAGCCATTTCAGAGCTACAAGAAGCCCAGTGATTGCTTTCTGTACTTTCTTCATTCTCTACTGCTTTTATTTTTCTGTACAGTTCCTGATAATGGAGGTAGATGTGTCAGTTTTTAAAAGGGTAAAATTCAGGAAATAAATGCAACTTCCCACACAGAAGTAGAGCCACAGTTAAAATGAGATGCACTGAAAGCACTTAAGGAATCCTTTAAAAGCAGAAATAAAATGGCTTACAAATGCTTCAACAGGTGGCTCAGTAAGCATCTTGAGTGACTAAATATGTAAATAGAACTTGAGGGGCAGGGGAGATAGCTTAGTAGAATAAGTGCTTGCCTGG